TATATATATATATATATATATATATATATATATATATATATATGTATATATGCTACTTGATCATATTATAATGATCAAGTAGCATATATACATATATATATATATAGAAAGTAGTTAATTAGAAAGTAGCTAATATGATCATATGATCATATTAGCTACTTTCTAATTAACAATTCGTATATATATATATATATATATATATATATTATATATATATATATATATATATATATATATATATATATATATATACATATATATATATATATAAACTATCTTGTAAGTTAAACATATATATATATATATATATATATATATATATATATATATATATATATATATATATATATATATATATATATATATATATATATATATATATATATAAACTATCTTGTAAGTTAAACTATCTTGAATATTCAATCGGATCAACTAGTGGAACAGAGACATGAATAGCATAAAAAATTAACACTAAAAAATGCACTTATATTGAGTGAAACAATGCACATATGGTAAATCCAGAGATTTACTATACTTTGCATTTCCAGTGATAAATTGCACCGACAGAAAATTTTGGTAAGTTTAGGAATGTTGAACCTTCACTTAGCACAACTGGTGGATCAGAGACACAGATAGCATGAAAAATAAACAATAAAATAAATACATAAGAGAAATGGTACTGTATGAAATGTTAAAACCATTCGAATATGAAAACAATGTAAATGATAATAATGATGATTATGATAATCATGTGTATATAACCAATAATATAAAATATAAAACTAGTTCTAATTAAAAGTAATATATTTATAAAATTTATCAAAAATAATGCAGTGTCAGTCATAAGCCTGGCCCTGGTTTTGTTTTATCAAACCCAGCATTGATCCTGGTCAAATAGTATTATTGGTCACTTAGGTAAAATAGCCATGTTTAGAAGACAGCAATATGGCTGACAGTATAAATTATAGTTTGTCAATATATATTGAGTTTTTTATTCTGTAGTTTAACATCAAAATTGACTTTGTAAGTTAAGCGTTAAAATGCCTCATCTTTTTTAATGCAATTCAACATATTTTAAATACAATCATATTCTCTTGGTATTTACAACTATGACTTAATCTATAATCTATAATCTTATATCTAGCTATTTACAATTAACGCAAATCAATCATTAACAATCATAAAATATAATTACACTTTACATATTCGGTGATTTTCAGCTCATAAATTAATCAATAAATCAGTTATGAAAGTGTTATGTAAATGAAAAACAACAAAAATTCTAAATCAGTAGTTGAAAAGATAGTATTAGACTATCAAACAAATCATAGCAACTTCTAAATGTGATTCAAATATTTTTTAATGTTTAGTACTTTAATGGATAGAAGAAAACAGGCAAGAGCTTCCCTGTGTTCACCATATTGTCCATTTACATCTCCACATCTAATCAGCATTTCATTTACTCTAAAAATTTATAAAACATCAGAATAAATTAGAAAAGATACTATACACACTTGAGGTGTGTTAAGTCTTAATTATGTAAAATTAAGACTATGACATCAGATAACAAAAAATATTGTTCAGAAACCAAAATATTTATTGATGCTGTTTTTAAAAAGAGTTTAAGTTATCTTTATCTATTATCCATTGAGAAAGAGAACTTCAATCGTTTGAAACTCTGTTTGTGAAAAAAATGATGAGGAATTCTTGAATTGGTAAATTATCTGCATATTCTACAGTTATTACTTCTACTTGTTGGTTCCAGCCTAAAATTTAATGGTGAAAATTAATTTTCCTATTTAAAATCTTACACATTTAAATCAGATCACTTCTTCTTCTTCTGTCGTGCAAAGTTGGCAATTCAAGTATTTAATCTTTTTTCATACGATTTCCGCCTTAAAGATTTGATTCTAATACCTCTGTATTGCATGAGTTTAAGATTGTCATTGCCCTTCTTCCAAAATGGAATGCAAACTGTTGCTCTTTTTCCAAATGTGGACATACTAACGGTATATAAATTAATTTTAATGAAAATTCATCTAAATACTCAAAAAAGTTTTTGATCATACCTAATTTTTTGTTTGCTTTGCCTATAGCTGAATTAATATGATATTTCCACTCTCTTGATTATCAGTAGTTATAAAATTATTATATAGCTTTATTGCTTTGATAGAGTCTTTAAATATTGTTTTGTTTAAATTTTAAAGTTTAAATTTTCTGTTTTAAGTCTTAATTTGTTTAAATTTTGAAGTTTAAATTTTCTGTTTGTTTTTTTTTCTTAACACATACTTCTAAGTTCACTTGTCATCTACAGTGAGTTGTTTTTGTGTTTAAAAGAATTTTTATCTAAATTCATTTAAAACAAATTTAAATATGCTTTAAAAAATTTGGTATAGCTTACTTTTTTTTTTAATTTTTTAATTTTTATTTTGTCTAGAGCAATATGATTTCTTCCTGGTGGTTGAAAAAGTTATTCAATTTTATTTTACTATTTTATTTGTACTTGAAAATTGTATATTTTTGGCTAGGTGCCCTTTTACGACAATTCTATTTTTGTTAATATCTCCTTAACAACTAACTCAATCATGGAGATATTTTGTAAGGTATTAGGCCGGGTAAATAAAAATGAGCTATTGCTTTTACTAGGTAATTGGTTAGCTTTACGTGAATAAAAACATTAGCAGTTTTGCTCAAATTTTTATTCACGTAAAGTTAAGCAATTTACTAAGTAATTGTTCGGCTTCACGTAAATAAAAACTTAGGGAAAATTCCTTTAGCCTTTATTCACGTAAAACTGATCAATTACTGAGTAAAAGCAATCGCTCGTTTTTATTCACCCAGCCTAATATCTGCCTGATATTAGGCCGGGATGTTATGCATCTTATAATATAAAGAAATCTATAATTACTTTATTATTTTTCATAATAATTAGAAAAATCATGTTTTGTTAAGCAAAATACTTCATTTCTTAATAAACATGAAGAACATCATTTTCTCAAGTAGTTTCAGTCTTATTATATTTTTTCTTCTCTTTATGTCCTAAAGTTTACTTTAATTTAGTATTAATTCCTATAATAGTATAAATTTTTATTAACTGCTACTTTGTTTGGTGCAACTTGAAAAAAAAAAACTTTAAAATCAAATGGTTTACCTGCTGCTTTTTAAGATTCAGTTTAATTTTACATAATAGTTTAAAATGTTTATTATTATAGAATAAAATAAAAATGAAACCAAAATTTCGCTTAAGAGTAACATCCAATTCTGTAATAAAAAAGCCAAGAAATAAATTTGAAGCAGCTGTAAAGCAGTTTAACTGAGATGAAAGAAATAAACAGAGAAGCCACGGTATAGAATGGTGCAAAATTAATGAAAAGCGAGGGTATGCTGCAATATCAACAGGGCATTATCTATTAATAAAAAGCAAAATCATGATTGATAAGCGGTTAGTTAATCTAGTTCATACAGAAAAAATATTTTTCTGCTTAAATGACTATCGTCAAAAAATTATCAAAATACGCAATGTTTTGACCACAAAGTATATATTTTTCGATTGATTGATGTCAGTAGTTTTTAAATAATAATTTAAGTTACTATGTTTTTGCCTTTGGAATCGTCACGTAATGATTGTTAGCACATGCTCAAATGAGGGGCCCCTTCGTCGATGAAGAAAAGTTAATACGAAAAATAAATTAGGTTGTTTCATCATGCAAATTTTTAAAACTACCGAGCGCCGTTTGAAAGAAAAACAAATTGTGATCAAAATGCGCTCCAAAGCTTTAGACATTTATAAGAGAAAGGAACGTACTCTTGTCAAACCCCTATTCCGACGTTGAGCGTCCTTTGCGTCCGCGAACTCGTGTTTCTAGGAAAAGGGCAAAACGGGGTATATACGGATTTGCGCAGCAGTGCGCACATACACGAACTAATTTTTAGAGAGAACATGCAGCGGAGTGTGTAAACAACGACTGAGGGTTTGGGGTGGGTAGGTTCTCTTTTAAATTAAAAAGTCGTTTTTTTACATTTTCGGACCTTAAGGACAGCGTCGGAATAAGGGTTTGACAAGAGAGCTTTCACGGCTTCACGGCGTTCACGGCGTTCACGTTCACGTTCACGTTCACGGCGTTCACGGCCTTCACGGCGTCGGAATAAGGGTTTGACAAGAGAGCTCTTCAGAATATATTAATTTACAGTTAGCTTTTAAAACTTTTTGAAGTTTTAATTATAAACACGACTTTGATGTGAAACATGTAAACAAACTTATTATAATGTATAGTCTGAAATATATATACAGTAAATAATAAGTATATAAAACATATATGTTATATATTTTTAGGCTATCCACTGCCTATTTTTATACATATTTAAAATATGTATAAGTATTAAATATTGTTAAAATATTATTGAAATTCAATAAATATTATTAGAATAGTTAATATTATTTACTAATTTTACATTAAAATAAGACTTTTATTATATATTATATAGCAAAGATTTTATTCTATTTTAAAAAATATATATAATATTATACTATTTAGTATAACTATTATATATTGTAAAAAGTAAATAGTAAGTATATAGTATAAAATGTGTGTACAGTATAAAATATCTGTTATAAGTATTTTTTGTAGTATTTATTATAAACAAATGTATCATTCATTGGAAAATATAAAGCATTTATATATATATATATATATATATATATATATATATATATATATATATATATATATATATATATAATATATATATATATATATATATATATATATATATATTATTTTTTTTTTTTGTGTATATATATATATATATATATATATATATATATATATATATATATATACATACATATTATATATATATATTTATTTATATATATACCAATATAAAAAAAACTAAGAATGTATTATTACTTATGGTAGATTTTAATAACATTATTTTTCATGTTAAAATGTATAGATGGTACGTAATTATAAACCAAAGCGACAAAAAAATTATAATGCAGAAATTTTTAAGGCTGCTTTGCAAACCATTATAGATGGAGAAACTATATCAACTGCAGCAAAACAATTTAATATTCCACGTACAACGTTGATTGATAAATTACGGGGAAAACATCAAACACATTCTATAGGTGGTAAAACAATTTTCTTTAAAAATCAAGAAGAAACTCTTGTTCAAAGGCTGCTTTATATGGCTGATAGAGGGTTTCCTCTCACAATAATGTGGTTAAGATCTGCTGCTTATTTCTATGCCAAAAGCTTGTGTAGACGTCATTTATTACAGAAGTCCATTCCAAAAAGTTGGCATAATAAATGTTTGGCATCACGTGATTGGTTTCTCTCATTCCGAAAAAAGGCATACTCAGTTGACACTAAGAATTCCTGAAGGGCTTTCTCGAGCAAGAGCAGAAGCATTTAATGAGAATCGCGTTCAGACATTTTTTAACGATTTACAACCTTTTTATGAACAGCTTGACATAAAAAATTATCCAAATTTGATTTATAACTGTGATGAAACTGGCCTTTCATCTGTGCCAAATGTCTCTGTTAAGGTAATAGCATTAAAGGATTCTCATGAGGTACAAAAGTTAACTATTGGTGAACGTGGCACACTAACAACATACCTAGCCACTGTTAATGCAGCAGGAGACAGCTTACCACCATTTTTCATATTTAAGGGAACAAAGATTCCAGATGCATCTAAATTTCCTTTGGGTACAAAAGTGCATTGTAGTCAAAGTGGATATATTGATCAAGAGATTTTTATTGCTTATTTACATCATTTTAATGAGTTTTGTACAAAAGTGAATGGGAAAAAAGTATTGTTATTTTTGGATGGCCACAAAAGTCATGTGACTATTGAAGCAATTGAATTAGCAATAAAGATGGATATTGAAATAATATGCATTCCACCTCATAGTACACATCACCTTCAACCACTTGACACACATGTTAATAAAGTAGTTAAACATATGTGGTCTGAAGCCTTGTCTAATTACTTAGCTGAAAATGATGATATTTCTTTGCCTCGTTGCAACTTTCACATTATTTTTAACAAAATATGGCCAAATATACTTACAAAAAGAGGATTGATTGTTAATGCGTTTTACCATTGTGGTTTGCATCCCCTAAGAAACCCAGTAAAAGATTTCGAATATAAAAAAGCAGAGGTTTTTAATAAAGCAACAATTCACCAGGGAGACCAAAATTTATCTATTTTAAGGACTATTATACCTTCTCCTGAAAAAAAAAGGAAACCTACTCATTCAAAACGCCACATTGCTCTTATTACATCACCAGGTAATGTTAAGTTAATAAAAGAGCCTCCTGCTAAAAAGGCTGCAATAAAAAATGTGGTCAGTGTTAAACAGAAGTCAAAAAAGGATCACGATAAATCAGTTCAAACCAAATCAAAAAAGACTTTTTTTTCAGCTGATTCTGATCACCCAAGTTCTTCAAGTTTTATTCTAAAAAATAACACTGATAAAAACTTTTGTTGTGTTTGTGCAGCTGTTTGGGCAGAAGCAAGTGAAGATTGGCTTAAATGTTTAAATTGCAATCAGTGGGCATGCGAAGGATGTTTTGGAGTTGATACATGTGCAAATTGTGTGCAATGAACATATAAACGTCTTGTAAATTTTTAAATAGTCATAGTAGTGATATGATTTTTGTTATTTAAATAGTCATAGTAGTGATATGATTTTTTGTTGCTTTAACGTGCTATTTTTTGCGCTAGCGCGGTTATACGGTTTTCATTTATGCCAAAATCATTATTTGATATTTTCTTGGAAAAAGTTTAACAATTGATGTCCTTTTAGATGTCCTTTTTGATGTCCTTTTACCCTAGGCCACTGCAGTCGAGGAGGCTACTTTAGTTGTGTTTACAACCCTCTCTCAACTCTATAACTCCGAAACACGAACCTTGACAATCAAGGTTCGTGTTTCGGAGTTATAGAGTTGAGAGAAAAACAAGTTGAGCGCAGTACTAACAGGGACGCGGTGGGAATCGAACTCGCAACTACTAGGTTTACTTCTAGATTAGGGAAATCATCCTACTGTGACCTCAAAAATGTTTTATGTCAAAGTTTTTTTCTCCTAGGTAAGTTGCCTTTACCACTAGAAAGGAATTTCGTCTATCGCCCGAGTCACGAATTTTTAAATTAGTTTAGCTGTACTGACGAATTCGCCCCGTAATTGACGAATTCGCCCCTCATGACTTGATGATGAAAAAATCAAATTATACGCTAAAGTAACTTTAGAATTCATTTTGATTCAATACATTAACAAAATAGAGACCCTAATTAATAAAAAAAAGTTTTTAAACTAGAAAAGTTCACTTATTTATATGCGAATTCATTTTGTTAAAGTAAAACATGACGAACTCGCCCCGCCTTACCCTAATTCAATTCCAATATACAATGTGCCTTTATTAATATGATTTATAATATATAAACGAGTGACTACATTGTAATCTAAAACAAAACCCCCTTAAAATGTAAAA